TATATATATATATATATATATATATATATATATATATATCCTTTCAAATTAATACATTTTGTAATTTCAATAACCGGCTCGGGTCTCCAGTAGGCAAAAAATAGTCCAGAGAATTACAATGCTCTCATTTATTCATACTCATTTTTAAAGTATTTAAATTATCGCTAAAGAAATATATAATTAGAGTCATGATGGGAAAGCAAAATGAATAAGGATTAAACCACATGTACAGCACTGTACATCATGGTTCACAGCCCCCTCACAATGAGGGGGCCCCATCTCGATTTTTTTTTTAATAAGTGCGGGCCCCCTCCGATGTGAGGGGGCTGTCAACCGTGCCGTGTGTCGAATTAATGAATCAAAATGCATTCAAATTTCATTGGCTATTAAGGTTGAACCCTCATTGTAACCTAGATTGATGCTAGATGGTATTAGATAACATTACTTGAAAAATTGGAAGGAAAATAGTAGAAAGTCGATTAATGCTAAGCAGTGTTAGATAGCATTACTCAAAAATAAATATAAGGGAAATAGTGGAGTTGAGAAAAGAAAGTATGAAAATAAATATAACGCAAAAAGCACATATGCCATTGTTTGATGTTAAGCAATGCCTGATAGCAATACACAAAAATGGAAGGAAAATAGCAGAAAGTCGGGAAAAGAAAGGATGAGTATAAAGCAGAAAGCATGATTGCTAAATCTAAGCACAAAAATCACCCAGTTGTTGGCATGCTTTAACTCAAAACCTAGTGGTGGCAATGGGCGTATAAAGCAGAAAGCATGATTGCTAAATCTAAACACAAAAATTACCCAGTTGTTGGCATGCTTTAACTCAAAACCTAGTGGTGGCAATGGGCCAAGCCAGCTCGACCCTTAACCTCAGGAGTTGGGCTCGCGCTCGTGGTGAGCCAAGCTTGGGCTCGACTCGGCCCACTAGCTCGTGGGTTGGGCTGAGCTTTGGCGGGTGGGCTTGTTCCTTTTTTTTTAAAAGAAAAACACAAATACATGAAATAATGTAATGAAAACACTTTTAAAAAAAAATAAAAAGTGTTAGAAAAATACAAATAATTTAATGAAGACATTTTTATTTATTTTTTTATTTATATCATATTGTAATATTTTTTATAAAGTATAAAATATTTATATAATGAAAAAGAATTATTTTTTGAAATACATTTACAAAAAATATTTTTTTTATTTCTTTTTAAAGTAGATAAAATGTAAACCCTCCTCCTTTATCCGGGTTTGGGACCAGTTATATCAATTTTAAGTAGGCGGAGTTAAAAATTGTACACGAACAACTTGTTGTAACGTGTACAATTTTTTAAAAAAAAATTAAATTTAACGATTAAAAAATAAAGAAATTTTGATTAATATAATTAAATCAAATATCATTTACTTGACAACATGCAATTTCAGCGTATTTATTTTGTAGTCGAAAATGAGCGTCCTGTCAATCCTTCACGCACATGAATACTTCCAAACATCTTCTTTCAGTCAGCTCCTGACATCGGTCAAAATCATTTTACCTGCACAAAAAGCAGACTCCGAAGTAACAGTGCTAACTGGAGGTATCAGCAGATCTTTCGCAATTGCAGAAATCATTTGCCAACGTCTTTCATACTTTCGCTAGAATTCAAGTACCTTTTCTGAACTTTTTTTAATTGTTCTGTCTATTGACATATTATGATTGAAGTAATCAATTAATTCAGCAGGTATCGCATTTTGAGTTTCGGTCGATGTTTGATGAGATGCAAATGTAGACGACATGGCACTAGATGAACACATTACAGTTGCATCATATTTAAATGTATTAATGTCTTTAAATAAATTCATTATTTCGGCATCATCTTTTTCAATTTCAGCAGAAGGAATAGGTGCAGAAGGTACCTGACTAACATTCGTACCAATTTTTTCCGCATATAAATAATACATTTCACATAATGTTTGCTCTAAATTCTTATAGGTGATAGGTGTATTAAATATTAAAACTTCATTGATTTGATCAATTACGTATTTAGTTCCCGAAATATTATATTGATGGTCCATTGCGCATGTTAAAGGAAATAATATATGTAGTTCTTCCCAATATTTTCTAAACTTTAATTCCATAACAATTATAATTTCACTGAAGCATGATCATTTTTATATTTATGGAATGTTCTTGCAATTATATAAAGGCGTTCAAGCACTATATAGATTGTGGGATAATAAACGCCAGATAAAATCTTTGTGGTCTCATAAAAAGATATCAAAAATCGTTTAACTTTCAAAGCTATAATCTAATCGGATTCATTTAACATACCATCTTCATCACTTCTAACGTGTCTATTGTTATAAAAGTCAGTTATTAAATTTTCGAAACCTTCACATGACTTTTATCGCTAAAAAATGTTTTAGTAGTCGTCACCCCTAGTTCGACACAAAAATCTTCAAATGCTTGTTTTCTATTATGAGATATCGTAATAGATACTAATGCATTCCTAATCCTTTAAAATTCATCATTTATATGTTTTAAGCCATCTTGTACAATTAAATTCAAAATATGACACACACACAACGAATATGAAACAAATACTCACCAAAATCAAGTTGAAGTGTTCTACACAATTTATCGACGACTACCTTATTAACACTAGCATTATCAAAAGTAAAAGACTGAATTTTAGTCTCACAATATATTCTCTAACGATACTGATAATAATATTATATATATTATTAGCATTGTGAGGAAACTCAATTCTAAAAGCAATAATTTTCTTATGCATGCACCAAAGTGGGTCTATACAGTGTATGGTTGTAGTTATATATGCTCTTTTATTAACCCATTCTCATATATCAAAAGTTAAAAATTTAATACCCCATATTTTTGCAAATCTATAATTAATTGTTGTTTTGAATTATTGAAATATTGTATTATATCGGCACGAAGATTGTTCGACTTACCCCAACGTATCTCAATTGCAGATATTTTTGCACGAACGAGACGAAGTGTTGGTTGTCTACAATAGCTAGAGGCAACTCAGTGGCGGCAACAAATTTCACCATTTCGGTTAAGCATTGTCCTCCAAATACACCCACGTGGAAAGGGGTGAAATCGTAGAACCGACGTCTAAACTGTCAAATTGTAATTGTGTTCGACCAGCGTCCATGTCTGGCCGCACATGCTTTGTAGTGGCGATTGAGATGGGTTTCGACATGCCAATCTTTGTTGGCAGTATTTACATACTGCTTTAGATTCTACAAGGTCATCGATGATTTTTCCCGTTGAAATCAACTAAAGTGATCCCAACATTTTGCTTATTTTTTGCCCTTTCGCTTTCCCCTCGCATGTGGGATGTTTAATTCGACATCTTCATCCTCATGTTCCGCTTCGAGAACGTTAATATCATCCAAATCAATTAAATTGTGACTTTCCTGATCGTGAAAATGAACATCTTCAAGTATGGATATGTCATTTAGACCGACAAATTCATTTGAAAATTGACTTTGCAGCGTTCTAAGCGATTACCATTATGTGACCCACATACCATATCGAATAAGCTCTCAACAAATGAGCGTTGGTCCATTTGTTTGATTGTTTATGATGAAATTCAAATATAATAACTACAAAAATATAAATGTAGTGAGATTGTGAGAATTGGATGAATTGAAATTGTAACTAATAAATGGTAAAAATTGAATTGATATTGTATATTTTTCAGCACAAGAGAGTAAAAACTCGATAATTAATATAATAAAAGATAGTTAAGAGAGTTGGAGTAGATTGAGTAATTGATATGGAAAAAAAAAAAACAGATGGGTGTTAAGGATATTTATAGTAGAAGGGGGGGAAAATAATAATAAAAGATTTCAGCGACCATTTGGTCACTTTCTTTTGCGAGCCAGGAGCCGAGCGGCTCGTTGTTTTTTAACGAACCACGAGCCGCTCGGCTCGTGGCTCGTCGTTTGAACGAGCCACAAGCCTGGCTCATGGCTGGCTCGTTCAAGCCCTCGAGCAGCTCGGCTAGAGTGGACTCGGCTTGCCTCCCGACGAGGCCCGCTCGGCTCGCACTTGGGCTCGTGATTTTACAAGCTCGAACCGCTCACGAGCCCTATTTTGACGAGCCGAGCAGTTGAGTCGATGAGCAACTCAGCCCTTTTGACATCCCTATCAAAAACTGTACCCATAGCATACAACGATCTTACTATATGTACCTTCTTTTTGACATCGTGTCATGTGATGACACATGTTTGGCCAGTTTATATATATGATTTTCCATCCAACACTTTTTTGAATTTCTACACAAGTACACCAAGATGTAACCCATGGAATGTACACTTAGCATAATTCTGAACACACCAAACCATCATTCAAGAGGAATTTGCTCTTCCCTATTACACAATTTAGCTTAAAAAGCTATTCATTGTAGTCAACGTTGCGTCATGTTTGCTACTTAGAAACACACTGTTGAGATGAAACATTGTTAATTAAAGTGGTAAACCAAAACCAAACTTCAGTATGATCAACATTTAATAGTGGGATACTGCTCTTGATTTGCACAAACCTCAATCTAGGCGCTCCATCTGCGAATTATTAAAAAATAAAAATAAAAATAAAATAAAACTATGGTTAGCCAAGTGAATAATCGAGGTTAAAAGTAATTCAATTTCAAGTTGAGAAAAATTGTAAAGAGTCAATGCCGGTGGTTCATTTGCTCATTTACGACGAAGAATCTTAGAGTTGCCAGGTTTATTCACCCGCAAAATCAAGATGATGAGTATATTCTCAATGCTACTTGTAAGAAATAACTAAGCATTGAACAACAAGCAACAAGTCGAAAAGAAATTACCTTCCAGAGGCCGTCGTTAAGATAATGCATGTTATCCACACCAATTCCTTTGTTGACATTCCGACTGCAGGGACAAGACCATGGCAGGTATGAGAAACTGAAAATTTCTACTTTTGTGAACTTGCCACTTTTATTTATTTTACATTTTGGGGTTTGCTGGCTAAGTATTTTCGTCAATCCAACATCTTTTGTTTAATTAATTCACACTTTAATTTCTTTTGTTTATCCGTTTTTAGACTTCCAATTTCATTGTCCACAAAAAAATACACAGATTTGACATTTATTCCAAAACAAAACAGGAACTTACATGTCTTTCGCAGACATTTTTGTAAATCCAATAGCCAGAGCATGTTGCTTCCCTTCAGCCATTATAGCCTAAGGCATAAACAGTCAAATATTGTGACTGATGGTTAATTAAAAGAGTGCAGGCGATAAATTAAAATCGAAGACACATGATATTGAAATGGAAACTTGAGAACCAGTTGATAGAGTACTTAACCAAAAACATAATTCTAATACTGAATAAAAATATTTCATTCTTGTAAGTCATACCACAGGAGTTTCTGCCTCTACTTCGTCGTCTAAGGCACCCCCAGCAGAAGTAAGCCCTGGGCACATTATGTTGGCACCAGAAATGACAAATTTTATTGCCCCCCTGTCAACTTGTAATTTTTTCATTACGTTTGGATCTGCAAATAGACAAGGCATAACCATAAATAATAATGATGAATTTACATTATGTACATAAATTTCTTAAATTTAGTTTGATTTACTTAGGTAACAAATGAAATAAATCAAACTAGTGAGTTGTAGAAAAATGAAACTAATAGCACTCCACAGTTTTCTCCCTGAGACATCTTATGACTTCTTTACTCAATTTTTCTACAACTGGAAAATAAAAATATCAAAGGAAAAAAGGAATGACATTGATTGCAATATTTTTTAGGAAAGATTCAAATGGATGAATAAAAATTAGTTCAAATAGGTATTTAAAGGTTCATTATTTGCTAGCAAATACCACTATTTTTTGTTTTGGATCTTCTAAATCATTCCCGCAGAAAATCCGGACTATTTTCATTTCTATTCAAATTTAAAAGAAGTTATTTGCTTGGTATAAACCAAGATTTCGTTTTATATGTATTATAAAGTAACAAAAATTCAGCGATAGGGAGAACTGTAGAGGGCATCGTCCCATGCCCTGCAGGAAAAAAAAGGATGTGTGAGGTTTCAAGACCGTTCAATAAACACACTGCCCTTCCTTGTACTATAAAAGTCAAAGGAAATGAATATATGGTCTAAGACAATATCATTCCACACAGGCAGAGTCCCAGCTAGGGGTGAACATGGTTTAGTTTGGACGGTTTGAGACAAATTTTCAAAGCAAACCATTTAAAACGATTTGGAATTTTTTCAAACCAAACCAAACCATTTCAATTTCTAAACCAAACCAATCCAAACCATTTTTTTCGGTTTCGTTCGGTTTAAAACCATGGTTTAACAATGAAGAAATTAATATATATCAAATAAGTTGAATCGTAAATATTAGTCTAAAATTTCACCTTAAAACATAAGTTGTATTATTACAAAAATTACAAATCAAAATTATATAATTATAATCATGATAATGCAACAACATGATATAAATATTTTAAACTCTTAATCAATATTAATGGCACCCATTTACAATTGTAATACACGATTCGTTCTCTTCATAAATATTAAAACATAGTACATGAATTCATTGATTATAATTAAATGATTTAAAATAACAAATAAAGGAAAATAAATAAAAGAATAAAATACAATAATACCTAGCTACTGTAACTTTTTGTGAATCATTCAATGCTTCTACTCTATCCAAATATTAGCGAATTACATTAAGGAAGCCCAGTAATTATTAGAACAAAACAACATAACTACCAATAAAAGCATAGAAAAAGATTGCCAAAAAATAAAAGAACTTGGATAATTTGACTTGAATTTAGACAAGAAAATTATTAGTAGAAGGAAATGAAATGTACAAGTTTGAATTAAGATCGAGACTTAATTGTTTGCTCAATTATAATGGAAAATCGATAAATATGGTTTAGCAGCAATTGTTCACTTTATCCAATTTAATGATTTTATATTCATAATTCTGCTGACTAATGGGTATTTGGATATTATTTAATTAACTAATTAATTGAGATGTAAAATTATCGAATTGAGTTTAATTGAATTATGTTTAATATGGATGTATCTTTTTAACTGAAATATATTAAATTTTAATTGTGTTAAATAAAATTTAGACTAATTTTAATTTCATATTTTTTTGGTAAACGATTTAGCAGTTTGAAATAGTTTGCAAATATTGAAATCTAAACCATTCAAAACCTAAATGTTGACGGATCAACGTGGAACCAAACCAACAGTTTCAAAAAAAGGGTGTTGGTTCGATTTTGTGGTTTGGCAGTTTCGTTGTTCAGCCCTAGTCCTAACAAACAGTGCTTACAATTGGAAAGAAAAAGAAAAAAGCTTCCATATCAACATCACAACTCACTTATAGCACTTGCTAAAATCCATGCTCCCTGTTGCATCATCATAGTTACCTGCCAGGTCCCAAGAAATAATAACTTATACGTCCCCCATCCTCCACAGGCGCCCCAGCAACAGATTAAGGCGGTGTTGCATATCATAAACAGAGGCAGCAGATCTGTCGTTTTAGCCAGACACTTTGTAGCTCTCATCCAATCAATTTTTAATCATGATATTCTCAATTACATGCACAATAATAACATTCTCCAAAAGCCACACCTTCAATATCACAACCATAATCAAGGGCACCATAACTAGCTAAATGATACTATAAGACAAAAATGAAGAGAGCGTAATAAAAAATTGAGATATGGAATAGAATAATGCTATGCAGTATCAGTCTATGTGGCAAATACAATGACACTAAGGGACAGATCCAGTGCATTTTATTGGATCTATCATCAAATGCGATTGTGTGGTGGTGCTACATAGCATTATTCTGTGGAATAACATGGTTAATAAAACTTATTAACCATAACATTTTTATTTCTTTATTAAAAACAATACCAATTTTCATCTCAAATAAAGTAACAATGCTGTTCTTCTATCCCAATAGGACAACCAAATTTGCTAACCATGGTAAAAATGGTGCCTTGAACATAAAATTAACTGAGATAAATGAACATTACTATGTCTATGTATGTAACTGGTTGCTATTCTTGACTGGGAACTAATCAAATAAGAGAGAAAGTGATATTCAGTTTTAGATATTTATGTGAAAACTTTGTAGGCTACATATGAAATTTATACGGGTCAATTACAATTTGAGTATTTTGGAAACTAGGGAGCAAGATAGACGGCAAAAGAAAAGGAACAAATAAAGGGAACTCAGATTCAGAGGCATATTTAGCTCTCAGGTAAATAATCCATTTCTATATAGCATCTACACCAGTCTATTTACTTCAGAACACAAATGGCATATGATTGCACATTTCATACAACAATTACTTACACTGGTGAAGAAGCCGTAGTGTGGGCATATAAGGTCCATCGCGTATGTTGAAGAACAGAGGCACATTGTTCACCAGAACTAAATTCAGATGATTTGGACTTCAAAAGATTATGAAATGCCATGTAAGAAATTGAATCAAAGAGAATAATATACTGGAAGTACAAAAAAACCAGTTACGTAACTATATTTTCTTCCAAAAAAGTACCATTTAGCAACAATCAGTGGGGACTTCTTTGGGAGCAAATCATCCAACACAGGTTCAAGTCCTGGGTACTTCAATGAAGAGAAACTTTACCTTTAGTTAAATCTAAACTGATTGCAGAAGAAATTATTCACATTTAACAATTATTGAAGAAAAGAGAAACAGCAACATTACAAAACCTCTTCTGCAATACTTTGCCGGATTTTCCTATGCACAGATGCTTTCACCTGATTTTGTGCAGAAACCTCTTCAGACGAGAACCTAAATATTTTTATAGTAGAAGCACTGTATAAGTTATTATAATATAGGCATTTATTGGCAGACAATAGATAGGTAGCTATTACATAAAAATCAGTACTGTCAACAATTCTCAAACATATACGAGCATGCAATTACATTAATAATAGTTTAAGTAGCTAACATCAATACAAATACACTCAACAATAGTCAAACAATTATTAGCAAGCACAGTGGGTTGAAGCTCAATAAGATTCCAGGCAGAATCAAAACTTTAAAGAAAGTGTATATAAAGTTTATGATGCATATACACATATTAAGTGGTAGTAAATTCACCAAAAAGGAAATAGCAAACATGTGTATGCATCACCCACAAAAAGACCAGATTTCAAAATCTAAAACCAGAATAGAGTAGGCTACTTTAAAGTATAGCTAAGACATTGGAAAAACACATAGGATTAGGAGATTGCTTCATAGGCTCAGTTTTTAGTATACATGGAGGATTTAGTTCAAATATACCTATACGAGACAAACAATTTTAACCAGAAATTTGGATGGTATTCACCAAGATGGGGCTTTTGATAAGAGAAATTGCAGATTTGGTTTTGGAGAAGGTATGGATGCACAATTTGAGAAGATATAATGGATTGAGTTCAAAATATACTTATGGGAGAAAACATTTTTAGCCAGAGATTTTATTGGCATTCTGTGAGATGGAGCTTTGCTAAGATACATTGGAGATTTGGTTTTGGAGAATGCAATGATGCCAGAAAGTCAATTCTAAAAGTCTCTTTGGTATGTGACCTTCAATGACCAGCTTTACAAGAACATGGATGTACACGATCTATAAATGGGTTGAACAAGGGACAAATGTATTTTTCTTGACAAGGAGGGCAAATTAATCTAGTAGTAGACACAGCAAGGTTATCCATGCAGAGAGTTTAACCTCACAACGCAGACTTTTGAGTCAGGAATTGGTTTCAAGGTACAATTAAAGGTGGAAGAGAGTGTTAAGGATAGCACAACAAAGTAGTGGGACATAAAGGAACCTCAATAGATAAGTTGTTTGGAGAGACTAATTGGGATTTAAACAATACACCAAATGTCAAGTGGAATAGAATGAGTACATAAACAAAACAACAAAGGAGATGATAAGGAAAAACTGGAGGAGCCAATTTTTATTGAGTAGACATCATCACGTAGTGAAGATATTCAAAGTTCTATGAAGGTAACAAATAAAGGTTCAGATCAAGCCCTTCTATAAGTATCTTGTATGTGCCACAGGGATCATTTTTTTAGTTCAACACAAGGAAAAGTAAATAGACCAACAAAATAGCAAATTCTCCAAGAGGTAAAACCATAATACACGTACATTACCCAGCAGCCAACAAAACCCAGCAGTTATAACCCATAATATATGCATAACGCAATTATACACACATACACGTACATTACCCAGCAGCCAACAAAACCCACTAAAATATCCAAAAGAGAGAACGCCGATTTATTTAGAATAAAACGATAGATTACTATCAAAATTACGAAATGGGTTTTTCATCTTTCAAAGAGAAAATAAGCAATATATGGAGATCATGAACTCATGAAGCATATCATCGTTTCCAATTTACAAGAAGAAGGGCAGTTACAAAGAACCAAGAAATACAGATAAATACTAATCAAACTTTATGTAGAACAGATTGGAAATCATGATTAATAATAGAAATAAGAATGCAATAAACGGTGGTGTGTGCGTGCCATAGAGTGGACAAAACGCTTACTTCTTGAACATTTTTACGGTGAACGGGAGTAGGGTTTACGGTCACCGTATTATAGAAAATTCCGAGGAATTTGAAGAATTTTGGAACAAGATGGATTAAAATTTCAGTTTAAGCAATGTTATTACGAAGCAAAAAATGGAAAATATTTGTCCCCCGGCGCTTCTCCAAAGGAAGGGTTAGCTCAGGCTGGATCGTGGGTTCGATTCGTGGGGCTCTTGGAAGGCAAGACATATATTGGAAGGTAGAATTTATCTTGAAAGGTAAGAATGTTTTAGAAGGCAAGACGCAACGTGAATTGACTCACTAGACACTCTGACAGTTCAGTTGGAGAGACGCTCGGACCCTGATCAATTGGAGGCATATCGCGCGGTTTAATTGGTCTGTGTAAAGAGGGGCCGGATCACAAATCCAAGAAATAATTGTCGAAGGCGGACACCTTGGTAGAAAAATGGAAAATATTTGTCACGGGTGAAAAGGATTGGAGTGTGTGTCGATCTTATTAGCAATCGCAATATTTGATTCGATTTCTGAGATATGGAATTGAAATCTTTGTGGATACTAGTATGAGCTTGTTTGGAAGTGATTTTGAAAATTGATTTTTTGACCGTTAGAAGAAAAGTGGGGTCCACCTATGAGAGAAGAAATCAAATATGACGGTTGGAATAGTGAAATAACAATCCAAAAATCAATTTTTTGAAGGAAAAATCACTTCCAAACAGGCTTTATATGTGTAAGCTTTTGTTCTTTGACTTGCTGGGATACATATCGTAATTTACCACCCTCACAATGTTTTAGAAGTGAGACCGTGGAAGCTCTCAAAATTGAGGTTGAACCCTTTTTTATTTAAAATGGAAAATATTTTATTCTTTATATTATTTCTTCGTCTTTTGATCATATGCCTTTTAGGTAAAGTAAATTTACAGGGAACTCATCATTTTTTGTACTTTTTTAACTACATATTTTTCATGACAAAATAATCTCTCACAAACATTAGGAGATATTTTTATGTAAAAATACATTTTTTGAATAGTATATTGATGGGAAATGTGTGGTTGAAAAATAAGGAATTTTTTTTTATTTATGTGTAATATTATTTTAATAAAGAATGCGTGGTTGAAAAGAAAAAAGAGAAAAATACATTTTGAAAAAAATGGGTACCAAACGGGACATAAAATTATATTCAAATTCATAGATATTAAAAATATAAGGTAATTATTTGAGTGCTCAACGAACTTCACCCCAAGTCATTTAACTTCAAATTTTTTCCATCGGTCTCTCATTTTTCAAAAGTTTTACTCGTTCATTATTACTTTCGGTTTTGTTGATTGGAGTTAACGGCAATGCCATCATTATTACACAATAAAATGAGAACAGTTCAAACTTGAACTTTGCCCTTGTTCATTTCCCACTTTCCTATCCCTAAATTTTAGCATTAAAATTGGGGTTTAGATAATTTTTCAACCGATTTTGACCAAGTATCTGTGACATTATCGACAATGCTAAGTCTTCAAGATCTCCTAGATGAAAGGCAATCCAAGTCAAAGGTTCCTTTTTGCAACTACTGTAATAAGCTAGATGCGCATGATTACTGATTTGATCCACATCCAAATTCAAGACACAAATTTTTAATTAATGGAATGTTGCGAACACAAACCATAAGCAAATAGACATTGAGAAATTGTGGAGGAGCTTCAAGTTTTATTGCGTTGGATTTTGGGTTCTTACTCTCTATTTCATCAGTATGCTCATATATTAGAATGTTTTGATCTTAGGCTTGTAAGAATAGGTTGAATATAGGATGTTTAGGAAATAAGGTAGCGATGTGTTTATTAAATGTCAAATAGTACATTTGCAAGAGCCTTTTGTATTGACTTTGTTGAAAAATATAGACAAATAATAGTGTCACCGTAATATATATTTGGACAGAGTAACAACGTTTGGATGATTTTGAATGGTCGAGGCAAGAGTTCGACTCTTTCTCCTTAAAATGATAATGCCTCGCACTGGTACTGACGGTATTGCAGTACTCGTTTCTCAAGATACAACGACCTCGTCTTGTAATAGTAGTACTCCAAATTACAAAACACGATGAACCAGTAAAGTTTAGATCTCTCCACACACACTGGATGACTAAAATGCACGGAAAATAATTTTCAAGGACTGAATTATAAAAGCAAAAATGATGCAGGGACAAAGGAATAATTTCGGGAGAGTAAAAATCAATTTTGATTTTGTAATGAATTAAAATCGGGGTATGGGGGCCTATATATAGATGTTGAAAGGTTGTGTCCCAACAGACACAACTGTCGAAAAGTTGTGTCCAAAAGACACAAACAGTTTGGACAGTCAACCGCCACTTGGATAGTTAACCGCCACAACCGATTAGACATTCAACCGCCAAATTCTAGAAGCACCACGTGTCACACACAGAAAATTCGGGGAAGAAAAAATAATAATATAAAAAATATATTATTATTATTAAATAATATAATTCAAACGTTATTTTACCAAAAAATATATATCAACTTGGCCCAAGCCCAAGACCCACGACCCGTGATCGTGCCAAGCCGAGCTAGCCAGTTGGACGAACGGCGGCAACGGCGCGCGCGTGTGGGCTTTGACTTAACCTACTAACATGTAGATTCTCTCCCCTTCAAAAACTATTGGTACCCCTTAGGGCCTAAACCCAAGTTCCAAACTTGAGCTATATAAGGTGGTTTATATTCTTCTAGTTTTCCTATGTGAGATTGGTATTTTTCAATTTTTCACTTATTTTATTTCAACATCAAGTGGGCATCTTTTGACCTTAATTTCTTATTCACCCTAAATTGATTTTGAGAAAATAAATATACCATATTAATCTACTCATGGAGTAGAACACATTCGGCCAAAGAAATCTTATATCTGATTAACGGGGCTCACTAAATTAATTGGTCAAAAGTTGATCAAACCAACTAATTAAAACCCATTTTTTTTCAATAATACCCCACATGAATGGAAATTAATGCAGTAGACTATGCAGACCCTATAGAGAGATCAGGCGGAATGTTATCACATCTGGATAGATACCTTATGGGTTTGAACCTTCCGTAGTAAGATACTACCTGATTTACTTAGCTAATCAGTGAACGCGGTGTCTTGAACTGTCAGCTTTTTTGTAAACCAAGACAATAGTATCAACACAATAACCTTCCTAACATTTTCGAGTTCTCACTGTTGTGTTCATTTTGGCCCTGAACAACTCTTGGATTTCATAAGTACTTTAGAGAATTCAAGCCTTTGAAACATTCTCATAGAAGCGGCCACACTTCACACTTGTATAGGTGATCTCTTATTAAGAGTACCTGCCATACTTCACTTAGGTAGTCCAAGATATAGGAATCATTAAAAGTATAACTTAACCTAAAACTTTCTACAGATAGCACTTCCTTATCATAGGAATGGGTAGGAGTTAACTCCGAAGTGCTTATTGAATCTTCATAACTTAGTTGTCCCATTGAATCAAGATTTTGGGATCTCCAGTCAGCAAGATTGGGTTACCATTACAAAGATTCTTATGTAGTAGGCTTTAAGCCCATTCCCCTTGATAGGCAGTACACTTGATCTCTTGGTAAGCCTTTGGTAAGTGGATTCGCAAGATTTTCTCTAGACTTTACATAATCTATGGAAATAACGCCATTTGAGATCAACTGCTTAACTGTATTATGTTTTCGACGAATATGTCAAGAGTTACCATTATACATACTACTTTGTGCTCTACCGATAGCCGACTGACTATCACAATGTATACTAATTGCAGGCACAGGTTTAGGCCAACATGGAATATCCTCAAAAAAATTTCGAAGCCATTCTGCTTCCTCTCCAGCTTTATCTAAAGCTATGAATTCAGATTCCATTATGGATCGAGCTATACATGTTTGTTTAGAGGATTTCCAAGATACAGCCGCACCACCAATGGTAAAAACACACCCACTAGTGGATTTTGAGTCTTTTGTATCTGATATCCAATTAGCATCACTGTATCCTTCTCATATAGCTGGATATCTCGTATAATGTAATCCAACATTTGAAGAACCCTCACCAGTGCTTTCCAGTGGTCATTATTTGGGTTACTTGTATATCTACGAAGTCTGTTTACTGCATATGCAATATCCGGACGAGTGCAATTTGTAACGTACATTAGACTGCCTATTATCCGAGAATATTCTAATTGAGATACGGGTTCGCCTTTATATTTGGCCAAATGTAGACTTAAGTCTACTGGTGTTTTAACAGGACTGTCATCAAACATATTAAACTTTTTAAGTACATTCTCAATATAGTGAGATTGAGACATTACAAGTCCATCAGATGTTTTCAGAATTTTAATTCCTAATATTACACCTGCAATACCCATATCTTTCATGTCAAAATGTTTTTTCAACATTTTCTTGGTATTTGTTATCATATTATAACTACTACCCACAATTAGCATGTCATCAACGTATAGTCATACAATTACATATGCATTAGGTGTGGTTTTAATATAAACACATTTATCACATTCATTAATCTTAAAATCATTTGACAACATAGTTTTGTCAAATTTTTTATGTCATTGTTTTGACGTTTGTTTTAGTCCATATAATGACTTGACGAGTCTACACACATTTTTCTCCTGTCCAAAAGCGATGAACCCTTCGGGTTGTTCTATGTAAATTTCTTCTTCTGGCTCACCATTTAAGAAAGCAGTTTTGACGTCCATTTGATGGATTTCCAAATTATGCAATGTTGCGATTACAATTAATATTCTAATTGATGTTATCATTGTCACAGGTGAGTATGTATCGAAAAAATCAAAGCCTTCCCTTTGTTTGAATCCTTTAGCTACCAATCTGGCTTTGTATTTATCAACTGATCCATCAGTCTTTAATTTTCTTTTGAAAATCCATTTACAACCTAATGGTTTATTACCATGTGGGAGATCTACCAATTCTCAGGTATGATTCTACATAATAGAATCAATTTCACTATTGATAGCCTCTTTCCAGAATGGAGTTTCTGGACTAGACATTACTTCATTGAATGTCCTAGATTCATTTTCTAACATATTAGTTAAAAAAATCTGGACCAAAAGATGTAGATGTATTGGTTCTTTTGCTGCGTCTTAGTTCT